ATTTGTGTCATTTCATATAACCATTATTAATTACAAATTTTAACGAAACATTTCTATGAATGAGAAACCACAGCAATGACGTTCGCATTTCTTTTCCGTGTATTTTAATATATTGTCAAAAATTTCGATTTGCTGTGGAATCTAGAAAGAAATTTTAATAATTACTCCGAAAAATTAAAAAAAAAACTAATAAAAAAATAAAAACTCCCCATCCATAAGGGGTTTTTTATGAAAGCCGGGAGAAGTGTCGTGGGATATAATGTGTTTGCCGACGATTTTTTTGTTTCACCCGAAACAAAAAATAAGCTGGGGAGAAATAATTGCTCCGATAAAACACAGATCAACATTTAGTATTTAAGTCGAGCATGGTGTAAGTTATGCTATCATTAAAAACATTCCTCAGTGGCCTATTTTGCTGATAAATTATTGATATTTTAATCATTCCTCATAATCTGGATTTTTTATTTATATTTTTGATTGCATTTTTTATGCAACTCAGAATCATTCTGCATCTTCATAAGATCTGGGTTTCAAAAAAGTGATTAAAAATAGAATCTTTAATAATATTACACTGATTATATTAGTGGCACTGCATATGATAAAAATCGAAACATGTCATGAAAAATCATCTGTAGGAAAAGTGGAGACCTTGCCGTACATTTGAAAAATAACATTAGTTAAATTCTGTTTTATTTCTGGAAAAAATGTAAATTTATGAAATATAAGTATTTATAAAATGCAAGTTTATTATGAAAATATACAATACATTTAATAGAGTAAACTACATTTAAACTGAGTATCTGAAATACTTTAAATCAACAGTATTTATCATTTTGGAACTAAATTTATTAGTTTTTTGAAGCTACCAAATTTCCTTTTAAGCAAAACACTCCAGCAAATAAGCTGAAAGGTCATTAAATCTTAATTTTAACGTTTATTTTAGTTTTTTCCGTATTTTTTAATAGCAGTATTCCCACACTTCCTTTCGTTGAAGACTATATGCGATATAACATACAAAACCTTTATTACTTTAAAACTCATTTTACTGGAGCTAATTATAATGAAGTTCTTTTTTTTCCCATTCTGTGAATCTATGTTTAGTATAAACCCGAAAAAGTTATTTGGTAATTAATTGTTACTTAATTTTATGTAGCTGGGTAATTACCATTTTCTACATAAATGAAAAATATTCCATTACAATTGAACTATTTATACGAACTGATAGATTCGTAATTTATTTTGTCGCAAAAGCTTGAAGATATAAATCAAGCAATATTTTTGTTGCTGAAGATAAATATGCAATCGAGATATTTGTATCACGAAAGGTTTCTTAATGTTACCAACTTTCGATGCGAGGCCCATATAATTTTACATTGGTCAAAGAGTATAATGCAACACTTTTTTCAAAACCAATTACAAGTACGCCGGAATTAATTTTATTCACCACAATTTCTTCTTTATCCGTTAAAACCGACTAACATATTTCTAGACTCTACTCCGCGAAGCAGGAGACCCAGAAGTTTAGTTGAAACGACTCTTATGAAATAATAGGCTCACACTCTGTCTACCTTTTATTTCTTTATCAGTTCATAGGCGAATTAAAAATTAAACCGATAATCTACATTGAAACGATAATCGACTTAATGAAGTCCTCAAACAGAAAACTTACCCGACAGGATATTTCGATCTATAGTCCTACGACAAACCAATATTGGGGCTCTTTGGCACTCGCTCCATATTCAAAACGGAATCTTGTACCGGAAACTCGAATCGGATGATTGGAAAGACATTCCGATGGCAACTGATACACCCAAGATCTCGGATCCCGGACGTCACTGAAGAACTACATAGCAGCCCCACAGGATGCCACTTCGGAATAATGAAGACGTTGCAGAGAATTCGAAAGCGCTTCTACTGGAGTAACGCAAAGGATGACATAGGGTCGCAATGCACTCTGAGAGGCAGAAAAGAGAAATATTAGAATTCCTGAACTTAGAACAGTGTTGGGAGAGCGACTGAACGAGACCAAAAGCTGCACAAACAGTTTAGTGAAAAACTCAGAGAGTGCACAAACACTCAAATACACATCTTTGGTTGGTAAGGTCTCCACCTCGCAAACAATTGCAACAAGTTAACTATCTAAATTATTAGGGATAATTATTTATTAGATGGAAAACCTGCTCCATTGATATCAAGTATCAAGGTAGAAGTTTTTTTCCCCTTTCACCATCTTCTATCCTGTCCTCCTGGACATACTGTGCTGCGCTCATTCAACTTGAAGCTCAATTCTATGGGACATGAAGTTCTGACAACCAGAACACAGCATGAACTTTTCATGCTAATCTCAGCATGCAGCGGAAGTTGGAGTTAGTTGATAATACACTGGTGTGCAAAAATTAAGGACGAGACGGTTTTTTCAATATAACTTTGTACAAAAGCTTTCCAAATCAACACATTTAATACCGTAAGATCCCCAATACATAAGGACATGAGTAATGTAAGCAACACCTACTAAAAGAGAAATCAGAAGGATGAAAAGAAGTTTTATTGAAAATGTAGCATGGAGCGCAATGCGACTGAAGGCCAAAACATCCCTGTGATGGGTGTCCAGCAAGAAACATCCGGTCTTTAATAGGGGATATGGTCACCCCTGACTGCTAGGCAGGTTTCACAGCGTCTGCCCATCCTGAGAATGAGGGTGTCAATGAGTTGTTGAGGCATTGCTGCCCATTCGTCTTGCAGCGCCAATCGAAGCTCCGGAATCTTTACTGGTGGTAAGGTACGAGCTGCCAAGCGTCTGCCTAGAAATTCCCATACATGCTCGATGGGATTGAGATCCGGAGATCGTGCCGGCCAATCCATACGTTCAATATCCTCACTCTCTAAGAGCTGTTCGGCAGCTACTGTGCGATGACATGGTGCATTGTCATCCATGAAAAGGAACTGCGGCCCCATAGCGCCTCTAAAAAGACTCACATATGGAAGAAGAATCTCGTTACAATAACCGATCCCGTTGACTGAACCTGCGTCGAAGATGTGAGGCTCTGTACGACTACCAAGCATGATGCCTCCCCAAACGAGAACACCGCCACCTCCATACCGGTCCCTTTCAATGATGTTCGAGGGATGATTGCGGCTTCCCCGCTCTCTCCAGATGAGTATTCGATGAGAATCGCTACTCAGACTGAATCTGTTCTCATCTGTAAAGAGTACTCGTCCCCATTCATTGTCTCTCCAATTCCGGTGTTCCCGGCACCACAGAGAACGCCTTCTCCGATGGGCAGGCGTTAGAGGTACACACCGTACACGGCGTCGTGCAAACAGACCACCACCGTGCAGTATTTTGGCCACGGTAAAACGCGATACCGGTCGTCCAGTCGCCTGTGTCTGTATCTAGCGATTACTCCCGCTGTCTGCCGCCTGTTTCTTCTGGCCTGTAAGGCAATATACCGGTCATCTGCGGGTGTGGTTCCTCGTGGACGACCACTACTAAACCCCCGGACAGCTCTTCCTGTAGTTTAAAATTGTCTCCAAAGTCGAGAAACGATGCTGTGAGCAATTCCGAACTCTGCAGCTACACTTGTCACACTGAGGCCTTCCTCCAACTTCCCAATGATTCGACCTCGGGTAAAAGCATCCAGATGTCGTCTAACAGATTGATTATTCGCCATTTCTCGCTGAGGCAGCAACTCGGTGTGACTTTAACTGCTATACGGCGTGCAATCTCTTTGCCAGAAATACTGATCTTAAACCGACAACATGCTTTATACTACTCAGACACTCCCCCATTACGTCTACCTGCATATCTGCGCATGTGCTACCGTACATCACCTTACTTAATCTCCTGACTGGTCTTTCTGTCCGCTCTGCTTCTTCGTTCAGCTGATATGCTAATTTTTCGACTCTGTCCTTAATTTTTGCACACCAATGTAATACTGCAAGAATGAGACATGCTAATGATTATTCCTTATGTCTATAGTTATGCCTTATGTCAATAGTTCCAGTATCATTGTCTATAGAATTACAACTGGTTTATTTAAAATCAGCACCAAACTGAATTTTCCAATTTGATCCTTTCTTAAGAGTAGTGAGAAACACTTGATGTACGATTTGATTTTGAAGTAATGAATAGTAAAACGAATGAAAGCAATTTTACTCATCTTCAATTTCTTCGTAGAATACAAAATTCCACATTTTTTTTCTGTTTAAGGGACTTTAAAAAATTTCACTAGAAATAAAATTCCAACCGTACATCACCTTACTTAATCTCCTGACTGGTCTTTCTGTCCGCTCTGCCTCTTCGTTCAGCTGATATGCTAATTTTTCAACTTCGTCCTTAATTTTTGCACACCAGTGTATTCAGCCTTTGATTAGATAATTAACTTGTTGCGATCGTTTGCGAGGTTGAGACCTTGTCAACCATGTTTGCCATAAAAGTCTGAGCTCGAATTAACACTCGAACGCCAAGTTTGTGGTTTTATCCGTTTTGTGCAACCTCCGAGCTTTTCACTAAGCTGATTGTGCATCTTTTGGTGTCGTTCATTCGCTTTCCCAACACTGTTGTAAGTTCAGGTTGGAATTCTAATATTCCTCTTTTCTGCTTCTCAGAGTGGAATGCCACTCTATGTTCTATGGTAATTATTGCTCATCCGGATGAGTACTATCACCCCTCTTAATTTGTAAAAACAATTTAGAATCGAAATAGTAATTATTTCGGTTAATATTCGGCGAAGTAGTATAAATCAGAATTTATAATTTAGAATCTGCATAGTCTTAATACTGTATATTAATATTCAGTTCAAATTGCGTTTCACGGTTTATGATAAATGTGATAAAATGAAAGTTACTGCAGAAATTTTGTTCTCAAAATTATGCATTAGGCTATTATAATTTCCCAACTTTTCTTTAGGATTATAAAAACTCTGCATTAAGTAAATTTCTACAGGCTTAGAAGTTAGGTGTTTCAAAGACGAAATAGGAAATATATGCAATGAACTCACCTCACTCGAACTTCGGAGTGGGGGGGAGGGACCCATTCTCCAAACCCTGGTGATGATAGTTACTGTCCATCGCCTTTTGGTTCGGGTGCCATGTTGTAGATTCATCAGATTTTTTAAAGAAGAAAAATAAGCAGTATCCTCACCAGGACTGGAGCTCCGGAACTCCTGATTGGTTGGTCAAGACATGTTCCCAATTATACCACGAAGACAGGCTGCAAGAAAGGAGAAACTAACTTACAAATTATTGCTGAAACATCATAATCTAGATTGACAGCCGTGATCAATAACTCAACCTAAAAGCTAAAAACATAATGTAAAGAAAGAGTGCAAAGAGCACTGTTAATACATATTTATTCTGAAGAGTTAAGTTATTTAGTAATACTAAGCTTTCGAAGATTGTTGAGTTATTAGGTTTTATTGAAGCAGAAGAAGAAAAATAAGCAGTGTCCTCACCAGGACTGGAGCTCCGGAACTCCCGATTGGTTGGTCAAGACATGTTCCCAATTATTCCACGAAGACAGGCAGGAGAGAAAAAGTATCTTGTAAGGTTTAGAAGGGATCCACGTCCAGGAAAATGATATATGTAAAGTTTGTAATAAATTCGGCGATTCAAAGCATTTCGTCGAGGACTGCTGCCTGACAGAAAGTGTGAGAGGAAAATATAAATTTGCGAAATTTATTTAGTAACTATAAATTGTTTAGAAAATTTGCAAGAGATATCATGCAAATTGTGAATGAGAATAAGAATAATATTGGTATCGAGATCTAACAAAGCAGAAAATCATACTGAAAACAGAAATAATTGAAGTAACTTAAAAATTTAAGATGAATTTTGATAATATAAAGGAGATTTGAATAATAATAACTACTTAAAAGTAAAACCTTATAAAGATTCTAAACTTAGGAAAATCACAGAAATGAAAACGACACATCTATATACTATTTCACCGATAGTGTTTAGAAGGTATGTATCTGCATTTTTTCTTTTGTTTTAGCTTTTATGTTCATTTTGTGCGATTGCATAATTCTGAACTCATTACCAGATGAGTATTAAGGTTGTTTATTTTCCGTTGTTTTTACTTTTTTATTGTTATGCCTTGTGGCTTCGCATGTCCTTTCATAGCCATATGGCAGGTTTCGCCTGCAAGGTGGGCTGGAAGCCAGTGCTTAGAACTAACTAACTAACTTTATAAGATTATCAGCAAAGTGGAGGATGTTCTGTAGTAAACTACAATCGTAGAGGAATTTCCTACGTCACTCACTGTATTATAAGGTATTTCGCCCGCCTTCCTGGAGTGCCTTTGTGGTGTATTGGTTCGGCACGCTGGGACGGTATTCCAGACGTGGTTTGATTCCCGGCGAAGGTGTTTGCTCATTTTTCATCTTGCCTGCTTTGCAATTAACTTAATGTCTCTACGCTATGGTAAACTGTCTCACGTTTATATCATACATAAGAGAAGAATAAAAAGCCAATAGTTAAGAAATTTCGTTAACCATAGCTTTTTTTTTCGTAAACGTTGACACTAACGTTTACGATTACGAAATTACGTTAACCTTAACTGCTTAATAAAATATAATTGTGGTGAAAACCTTTTCCGTAATACTGATAAACTTCTGTTGTACTTTTACATAAAATTTGATTTAATAACTATATTAGTAATAGTACAGGTAGGTAATTAGTAGTACTAATAGAAGTATAATTAGTATTAATAGATTAAAAATTTGAATAATGTCCGGTGAAACGTCGTTTTTGTGGAATTTAAATGTTGTTATATTTAAAGAATTAAATGATGAAGAATCTGCATAAATATGCGTATGTTTTTCTCATTGTGATAAAACCACGGTACCTACAGCCATCGAAATTTGAATAACGTAATCTACCATAGAATATGGGCATGTGAAAGCCCTAATTTGAATTTGAAATCTCTTTTATAATCAATTTCAGATTTTGTAACACTTCGACGAATTTTTGATTAAAAGACAAAACGATTTCAAAGCGAGCGATGGCAACATTGCACGAAAAAAAAAAAACTTTTTTGTTTCCAGCTAGCGAGACTCTGTATTGGAAATTATAAAGATTGGCTCATTTTAAAAATTAATTTGCGATATTGCTGTTGAACTGAATTTTAGTAGTTTGAATACATGGAACATGGTATTTAGTAAATAAAGGTAACACACAAAACGTTAAAAAACGCCTCTTTAAACGTAATTTAAAATCTGAAACCTTTCAGATGGTATCGCAGCGCTGCCCCACGAAACAGACATTCAAGTGGTCGCTAATTCAAGTGCCGCCGCACGAAATGAACAATGAATATCCTCACCGCCATCAACCTGTTAAAGTGTGTTACCGTCACTTTTGCAAGCAGTTTAAAGCTATATTAAAATAAACTGCATAAAATTATTTACTAATTTTTGAAACAATCGGCATAGAAGAGTTTTTGTTATATTTCCTGCAACTGAAACTGATTGTGTGAAAAATAAACATTTGTTATCCGTGCTTGCTCATAATTGTAACTTTCCCACAAATTTTCGAAGTGTAAGGAGAAACGTAATTTACAGGCCAAGGAAAAAAAATGTTAATTCTTTATTCGTTCCGAATTAGAAAAGCCATACGAAAACGATAAGTGGATTCAAATTTATGAAACTTTTCATGCTTAATTTTATTCCTAGAAACCATTATTTTGAATTCCATTTGATTGCATATATAGAATTTATAATAACAACGTGCTTAAGGGGACTCTTACACCTTAGAACCCATAAGAGTTTCGAATATGTAGCTGTTGAAGAGTTGGTATCTATAGCATAATTTAATTACATATTTAATATATAGCTTTTATAACATTTGGAAACTACTGTGAACCAAGAATTCTAAGAATTTCATGTTAAATTTTAATTTTTATTCAGTTTATAAAATGTATATTATTAAAAAAATCTAATGTTTTCATGCATAAATTTTTTTAATATTAAAATATTTATCAGATTTTGGGTTCAGTTAGAAAATAGTGCCCACATAAAGAATTTCAACAAATTTCAAGTATGTACCATTAGCCATTTTTAAAATACCATGAGCGCAAGGTGGAAACACGACGAAAAATTTTGTCACAAAGCGGATTAAATTAAAAAATATTTGTGGGAACACAAACTTTCTGATTACTAGTTCCCAAAGGCGCTATATTATGAAGTCAGCTGTAAAAAGGTTGGAAGTAATTGCTTTTAAAATAAATAAAATTTTCCAATTCTTGCAACAGTCACATATTGGAAGATCATAAGGGGTTTAACGTGTATGAGCACCCATAAGTAATAATTATTCTAAGCACGAAAATAAATTTTACATATGGAATAAAATGTGTGACTCCTTTCGTAGGGTTCCAGAAAATTAAAGGTAAAGGTACATTTATTAGACCTCATATATTTCTAGTTGAATTCTATTCGACAGAGTATTTTTCTGATAAATGAAAGCCAATCTAAGGATTCATTTTGAGCCCTTTATGTTTTTAATGTACAGTGAAATACGTTGAACGAAAACGCTTAAGACGAAATATTGGTTAACACGAAATAATACAACGGTCCCGACAAACTACCCACATATTTTCATGCATTTTGTTTCTCTAACACGAAATAAAAATCGGTTAACACAAAAAAATTTCCTCTCGGGAAATGAACAAAATTCGGAAAACACCGGCCTCGCAAGCGGGATTTAAGAGGGATGTGAAATGAAAGAGATGGTTTCATATATTTCGTAGAATGTAGGCTAACTTGGATTTAGAATATCCTCGAAATAGCTTGCGACATGAGCCAGTTTTGTTTATCTATGCTACTTTCACCTTCCACCCCTACAAACGCCACACAGGCATCTAATTTCTCATCAGTTGGCTTTGGAATTCGGTGACGAGTACATCGCAGTATGAGTAAATAACTGTGAGTTTGGTTCATATACTGCACTCTGTATGTCTCTGTCTCCTCATATATTGCACTCGTAATGAAAGTCTGGACTCCAAAGACGAATGAAAATTATTTTCGTCATGCACGATTCTCAAAAGTATCAGATTCTTTGGCGCCAAAAGAAATGGAGCAGGAGGATATTGAAACTGAGCCGACACTTAATTAAGTTTCTGTATTATTGGATTGTCTTACTGTATCATCGGAAGAATTCGTTGCGGTAGTTGATGATAATGTGTGTACGGCTCCAATTATGGCAGACGAAGGACATTTTGGAGTTTGTTCAAAGCTAAAAAAATATCAGTGATGCAGATTTCAATGATAAAAAATGAAATGAATAATGCAGCTCCTATTCCCACGTCATCCGAAATGGTTTGTTTTGGTTTGGTTTATTTAATTACGGCAAAGCACAGTAGGGCTATCTGCCTAAAGGAAGAGGTGCCTTCGTGGAGAACTTTTTAAGGGAAACTGGGTCGTATACACGTTACACATGAGGGAAAACCACGAAAACGCTCATGCAGCCAACCCGTTCGCGGGATTCGAAACTAGGACCGAACTACCAGCGTTCATCGACTTTACCGCTCGGCCGCTGGTGGGCCGTCATCCGAAATGAGGAACATCAGGAAAAGTACGCGCAGTCATTTAGACGCACATTCTAATGGTGAAATAAATAACAAAATGGACGACATTGAACAATTTGATGCTAAAAAAGACAATGCAAAGAAAAATATCAGATTATTTTACAAAAACTCAATAAATGTTTTGTTTTTCAAAAATGTGAGCATTTTGTATTAATTTTTATTAAGTTCTTGTGGATGTTTTTGTTTCATTGATTTTTATTAAATACATGCATACATACATATCTATGTCAACAAATAATGTGTTCTAATAAACTTAATTTTGTTGAATATTCGTTTTTATTTTCAATATCCTTTAACACGAAATTCTTTCAACACGAAGAGATATTTCAATTCCCCCAGTTTCGTCTTAAACGAAGTTGACTGTATGGCTTTCTTGCAATGCATATTGTTTGCTCGAATATCACTATATATAATATATTTCGGTGAATATCACTTTTTACCTCCTTCTACGAAATAAAGGAAGTATTGTAATCATGAAAAATTCCGGGTACCACATTTCAACAAAAATATCAATTTTGACTATTATCGAATGCTATTTAACGCTTTTTTTGCGTGACATAACGTATAATGTCCTTACGTGTACGTAAGGACAGAATAAAAAATTCGTTTTCGCCAAACCAATTAGAAAACTGATTTAAAATGGATTCAGAAGAGATTTTTTTCGTAGCGTCTGTACGTACATATACATCTCGTATAACTCAAAAACGAGTAGCCTCAGAACATTTGAAATTTTATATATAAGACTACTATAATATGTAGTTGTGCACCTCCCTTTTGAGTTGCAATAGGCGGCACCAAATATATATATATATACATACCCACTCTGCTACTCGGCTCTGTAAGCTCAGTTTTTTAAGTGTTGGTAAAGTACGTGCTTTTGCTTTAAAAATCATTGAATTATGATGTTATCTTCCAGTTAATCCTTTTTCCCTTTTAGTTAATCTGCATGCAATAGTTGTAGAATTATCAGCAATTTAAAAGTTAAGTGCGATGAAGCC